CTCAAGGAATGGCTATCGGCTGGGTTATTTACTTTATGAACTCGAAGAGGCAGGTTGAGAAATTCCACTTAAGGGGTTTGGGCTTGGAAGCCACTCTTAGAGACGGTTTTTAGGACCCACGTGTCCACCTGTAGTTCAGAAAAGATTATCCTGTACCTAAATTTCCCCCAGGTCCTCTTCCCAGTCTCAAATTTCTTACTGGTAAGTAATCTTCTGGTTATAAATTGCATAATTAGTAACAATGACTTGCTCCAGGTGGTAACCTCAGTTCTCCTGAAACAGAACCTCTCTGATCATCTTCAATGTTAAAACTGCTGCTTCATTTAGTAGATGAATGACTTTTTAACCAGAGGAAGATTTATAATTAAATGCAAAGATGATAAATTAAATCATACCATTAGTATTAATACTTTCATGTTAGGTTTAGGAATAATCTGTTTATGTATGTTATTTAAAGTATTTGTAGCTTTTCCTGTGGTAGCCACCAGGTTGAGGGGAGTGTGGCCTTCTCCTCTCCCACCATGGCGTGTGCTCGTCCACTGATATCAGTGTACTCTGAAAAGGGGGAGTCATCTGGCAAAAATGTCACTTTGCCTGCTGTGTTCAAGCCTCCCATTCGACCAGATATTGTGAACTTTGCGCACGCCAACTTGAGCAAAAACAACAGACAGCCCTATGCTGTCAGTGAATTAGCAGGTCATCAAACCAGTGCTGAGTCTTGGGGAACTGGCAGAGCTTGTGGCTCGAATTCCCAGGGTTCGAGGTGGCGGCACTAACTGTTCTGGTCAGGATGCTTTTGGAATTATGTGTCATGGGGCCCTCATGTTTGCACCAACCAAGACCTGGCGATGTTGGCACCCCAGAGTGAATACAATGCAGAAGCAATATGCCATCTGCTCTGCGTTGGCTGCCTCGGCTTTACCAGCGCTGGTCATGTCTAAAGGTCATCGTATAGAGGAAGTTCCTGAACTTCCTCTGGTGGTTGAAGATAAAGTTGAAGGCTACAAGAAGACCAAGGAGGCTGTTTTGCTTTTGAAGAAACTTAAGGCCTGGAATGATATCAAAAAGGTCTACGCCTCGCAGTGAATGAGAGCTGGCAAAGGCAAAATGAGAAACTGTCACCGTATCCAGCGCAGGGGACCCTGCATCATCTGTAATGAGGACAACGGTATCATCAAGGCCTTCAGAAACATCCCTGGAATTACTCTGCTTAATATAAGCAAACTGAACATTTTTAAATTTGCTCCTGGTGGGCATGTGGCACGTTTCTGCATTTGGACTGAAAGTGCTTTCCACAAGTTAGATGAGCTGTATGGCACTTGGCGTAAAGCTGCTCCCCTCAAGAGTAACTACAACCTCCCCATGCACAAGATGCTCAATACAGACCTTAGCAGAATCTTGAAAAGCCCAGAGATCCAAAGAGCCCTCCGAGCACCACGCAAGAAGATTCATCGCAGAGTCTTGAAGAAGAATCCACTGAAAAACCTGAGAATCACGTCGAAGCTAAACCCATATGCAAAGACCACGCGCCGGAACACCATTCTTCGCCAGGCCAAGAACCACAAAATCTGGATGGATAGGGCAGCAGCAGCACTAGAAGCCAAATCAGATGAGAAGGGGATTCCAGGCAAGAAGCCTGTGGTGGGAAAGAAGGGAAAGGAGGCTGTTTGCGTTAAGAAGATGAAGAAGCCAAAGAAGGCTTTGGTGGAAAAAAAGGCTGCAGTGACCAAGAAACCAGCAGCTGAAAAGAAGCCTGCTAAAAAAGAAGCCCACAGAAAAGAAACCCAGCACAGAGGAAAAGAAGGCTGCTGCATAAGCTTAAATTTGTTTATTCAGTAAAGGTCAAATCATTTTGGACAGCTAATTTTGAATAAAGACCTGATCAAAGAGGCAGTGAGAAACATGAAAAAAATAATAATAATAAAAAAAGTATTTGTGGGCTTCCCTGGTGGCGCAGTGATTGGGAGTCCGCCTGTCGATGCAGGGGACGCGGGTTCGTGCCCCGGTCCAGGAGGATCCCACGTGCCGCGGAGCGACCGGGCCCGTGAGCCATGGCCGCTGAGCCTGCGCGTCCGGAGCCTGTGCTCCACAACGGGAGAGGCCACAACAGTGAGAAGCCCGCGTACCGCCAAAAAAACAAAACAAAACAAAACAAAAAAAAGTATTTGTAATACTTAAGAGACTTTTGCCTTTTAGACTATATGATAGATAAATACGGTTCTATTTATTTAAAACATGTAATTGATTTATTTGTTTTGTTTTTTTGTATTTTTGCGGTACGGGCCTCAACTCCTTCCATTAAGAGAAGCAACTTGCTTCCCCGTAGCCAAGCAAGAAACTCGAGGGATAGGCTGTCAAATATGAATGTGTCTCTTAGCCCAAAGGAGTGGGGTGGGAAGAGGGCTTGTGTATTTGAAGTCTCCTGAGAGCTGCACAGAGGGCTTTGCCTTCCAGACTGCCCAGCGTGACTCCCTAGCGATGCTCATTTGTAATTCCCTACGAGGGGAAGTGTAAGAAGGGCTGGGGAGGCGGGTGTAGGGTGCAAGGCCACAGTGAGGCTTGATGAAGTGGGACCTTCTGCATCCTTGTTGCACCAGCGATCTGTCAGCTAACTGGGTATCTAGAAATGACTAAAAGAGTAGCAGAGTTTAAAGCCATTGAAAAAAAACAAAGAAACAATCTGTCCATTGCTGTGGGATAGAGAAGGAAGGTATAAGCAGTAACACTAAAGGTTGTGAGGAGTCTCTGGATACTGCATTTAAGTCCAAATGCCATTCTGTCTCCACTCCTGAGACTGCCACTGCTAAACCCCAACGCATCCTTTCTATTTTATCCCCGCCTATTGTTCTGCGGTCTTTTCTTGGAACATCTTGATTGCTTTTCCTCGGTAGCTGTCAAGAAAAACCAAAAAGTTGCTCTTGGTCTTATGCATTATGGAAAGATTTTGTACCCTGATCTTCTGAGGTGCCCTATTTCTGCCATGGAAAACCTTCCCCAGGTCTTACATAGGAATGCCTGCCTTTCGTTCACAAGGGACTGATTTTGGTCTCTTTACAGGCGGTTTTGCTTGTGAATTGTTCCTTTGATCCTCTCACCAGCCTTAAGTCTTGGCCTTTATTCTTTCCCAATGACATGGACATTTCCCTTCCAAAGCTACCGTCCTTCCTCTCTCTGGGCCCACTGACTTCTGCAAGATTTTAAATCTATCCAGATATATTCAGGCAATGGGTTATTTAAAACCTTCATAGGTCTTTCTTCCTGTTAATGGTGGGAAGAAAATGCTCAAGAACCTTGGGCTCTGAGATTTGAATTCTTTAATAATATCTAAAAAGCAATTTATGCTTCACATAAATGACTACTGACTCTGGTCTGTTTCTGCTACTTTTCCAGAAAAAAGTCAGCTCTTCAGGTACACCAAAGGGGAAGAAAATTTCGCTTAGACCACTTTATAAAGTTTTGCAGAACCTCTGGACCATATTTACAAACAATTTCCAGAAGAGACTTGGAGACCTTAGGCCAGGAAGTTAAGCAGTTTGGCAGCAAAGTTTCAGCCTGCCAAATCCATGATATTTGCCCAAAGGTAATGGCAAGAGTCATGTTGCTTTAATCTGTCAGGTGAAAAGTTTCTCCCAGTCAGTGCCTAAAGGGCTACAGTCTCAATTCCCACCCTTCACTCCTGTTGGACCAACTGTTAACAAAGGAGAGAGGGTGGTGGAGCTATTGGTATGAGTGCCTACAAAGCTGAGGCCAGGTGCTAGAAATACCTTCATCACTATAAAAATTTAGGAAAGCAGTAACTGTATTTAGTCATATTCCCATCAGTCTAGCTGCTTAAGTGCCTGCAAGAGCTACCTGCAAAACTCCATTTCTTATACTTGGCACGTTGCAGGGATTTGCACGCGGCTTTTTCAACCAGATAGTTTTCCCTCTTTCAATTGCCCCGCTGACTTTGGAGCCAAGAAACTCATTCCATGTGACTCTATTGAGTACTTCCTGTCTCCATCCTTTAAGTGGCTTGTGGTTCGAAAGTCATTATAAGAAGTTGTTTGGAATTCAGAGCATTTTTTCTCCCATTAAAAATGTCATAAATGGTGATTAGCTTTTTAAGCCCAAACATACTAACTTGTTTAACTTAGAGTGTAATGTTCTAGTTGTAGAAATGAGCTACCATTTATAACTGTGGTTTTGTTTTTGTTTCTAATACAGAAGAAAATTGTGAATTCCAAATTGGACTGTCAAGAAGAAACCTGAAGTTGCAGCGCTGGCCCTTGTGGTCCACCCCTCTCAAGCCACTCACTGCTGTCGGCCAAATGATAGGAAAATCTCTTAGCTCTACCCAAAGGCAGGGATTTCTGGAGTGGAGATGGGGGAAACAGGAGGTGGGAATATAGGCCTGGGGGAAAGAGTAAAACGTGAACTATAGCAAAAGCCTCTTGGCAGCAGTGACAGAACTCTCTGCCTTACTTTCTTCTCATCTTTCCCCCCTTCTTTTCCTTTGTGAGGCCGTCAGCATGGGTTTACAATGCCTGGGTAGTCTGGTCACTGGGAGAAGCAGAAGAGGCGTTTCTATACATATGAGCCTGATGGGGGTGGTCATTTGCATTTAGAAGAAATTCTATGCATTGGGGACTGCCTGTATTTGGAAGATTCAAGAATTCTTAGTATTCTTTTCTCAACTTCTAGGCTGCATTGAGAAATTATTAGTCTCTATTAAGCCTTAAAACTTTCTAAAAGTGCATTTGGTGCCAAACTTTAGTAGAGTTGCATCAAAAACAAAACATCAAACCTGTACTAACATTGCAATGTAATTTTATTTATTTATTTTATTTATTTTTGGCTGTATTGGGTCTTCGTTTCTGCACGTGGGCTTTCTCTAGTTGCGGCCAGCAGGGGCTACTCTTCGTTGCAGTGCGCAGGCTTCTCATTGCAGTGGCTTCTCTTGTTACAGAGCATGGGCTCTAGGCGCGCGGGCTTCAGTAGTTGTGGCACACGGGCTTTGTTGCTCCGCGGGATGTGGGATCTTCCCGGACTAGGGCTCAAACCCATGTCCCCTGTATTGGCAGGTGGATTCTTAATCACTGCGACACCAGGGAAGCCCGCAATGTAATTTTGATAGGAACATTTTGTTATTTTCATAAGGCAGGATTGGGTAGAGCAGTTAAATTAAACTTAGCAATCATGTATTTTTTTTTAAAAGCAAAGATTAGTACATTAATTACATTAAAAGAAAGCACTTCTGCTTAACAAAATATACCATTAAAAAATAAAAATACAAGCCATAGACTGGGAGAAGATATTTGCAGCCTATGTAACCAATCAATAACAACAATAAAAAATTTGTTTCCAAATATATAAAGAACTTTTACAATTTGATTTTTTTTTTTTTTTTTTGGCAGTATGCGGGCCTCTCACTGTTGTGGCCTCTCCCGTTACGGAGCACAGGCTCCGGATGCGCAGGCTCAGCGGCCATGGCTCACGGGCCCAGCCGCTCCGCGGCATGTGGGATCCTCCTGAACCGGGGCACGAACCCGTGTCCCCTGCATCGGCAGGCGGACTCTCAACCACTGCACCACCAGGGAAGCCCTACAATTTGATTTTTTAAAAAGGTAGAAAATCCAATAGAAAAATAAATCATTTGATTATGCAATACACAATAGAGGAAATCCAAATGGATAATAAACATTAAAAAGTGTTTTTAACATAATTAGTAAACAGAGATATGTTAATTAGAACAATGAGATACCACTATATGCCCACCATTATTAGCAAACTATCAAAAGTTTTATAATACAACATATTGGTGAAGAATTCTAATTTTTGGTGGAAATGTACTGTAAATTGTACAGCCACTTTGGAAAACAGTTTGGTATTATCTAAATTGAGGATATCCATACCCTATGTTCAAGCAGTTCCACTACTGGATGTATAGAAGTGGTTTTCAAAGTAGGGTCCCTGGATCAAGCAGCATCAGCATCACCTGGGAACATGTTAGCAATGCAAATTCTTGGGCCCTGATCAGACCTACTGAATCAAAAACTTGGGAAATGGGGCCCAGAAATCTGTTTTAACATGTCCTCTAGATGATTCTGATGAAAACTAAATTTGAGAACCACTGACTTAGAGATTATTCTGTATATGTATACAGAACAACACGTAAACGGAAAGTTCATAGCAGATTCCCAAATGGAAACAACCCAAATGTCCATTACTAGTAGAATGGTAAATTCATTTTTAACTTCGGACTAACTGAAGCATCTTTATATACTGAGGATTGAGAACAAGTCAAGGGAAAAGATGAAGTTAAAAGAAAGGAGAATAATTTGATGGAATAAGTTGAAGGTCAGATAAAATCTAAATGGGAGGGTGTTATTTGAGGAGAAAAGAGGTGCTCCTTTGTTGAAGACTAGAGAAGGAATGCAGAAATGTCATTGAGGGGGTAAAGTAGGAGGATTTGAAGTTTATTCATACATGAGAGCCTTTATTTTATTATTAAAAATCAAGGTCATATGCAAAGAAAAAAGACAATTCACCTGGTTTAGTTCGGCCAGAATGATGAATTAAATGGAGGATATAATGAGACCCATCCCCCCTGCATCCTTTGAATTCTTGAGGGTGACACTAAATTCTGCCACTCCACTCCTGAGATGTAATATTGTTTTTGATTTACAGTCTTGGCTGAGAGGTGAGGGTGTAGTTTCAGGGACTTCTACTTGCCTTTCCTAGTACAATAACTCTTATTTTACAAGTCAAGGAACTAATATGAAGGTTCTGTAAAATCCTAATGTCTGTTCCAATTATACTTTCAAACACTGGGGAAATGATCTCTGTGTAGATCTGTGGATGAGTAGACATGTATACCTGGCTAGGTCTCTATTAATACCTTGACCCTCACATACTCCTACTCTAACAATGGGTGTCAGAAGGTGCTTTGGGTCTCTGGATATTAACATCAACTCAGACTCTGTATCTAATAGTCCTTAAAAGAGCCATGTATTCCCCTGTCTCTAGTGCATGGCTACCCTAGTGCACAGCCATAAGACCCTTTGGGGAAGAACTGGGAGAATGAGTACTATATACACTTGCCACGGTGTTGCAGGGTCCTTCTTCATGTGGATCTAGCCTCTTTTTCAGACAATGGAGACGTTCTCTGGTGGGTTTGAAAATTGGCTCAGGCTTGAAAAATGGGCAAGGGATCATGACTTTCCACTGAGGCAGCTGATCATAGGCTTCTGCTCATCTATTCTTGGTCTCTTTTGATTATATATATTAAGCAATATCCTTGGTGGCTGCACATCTATCTCACTCCTTAGAACACCTTCTTCTATTAAATATCTCCATAGATTCCTAGAGATCAGCCCCCTATCCACTCCATTCCAAACTTGCTGCCCATTAAGAACATTATACCCATGTTGATTTTGGTGGTAAAGGGCTACCATATGGCTTCTTCTCTTCTGGGAATCCTATCATCTCCATGGCTATTAGGGATCCTAGTTCTATAACAGAATGTTTCATCAATTCCAGCCTACAGAAGAGAGCCACCACTGAACTTCTTAATGACATTGATTCAGTGGGAACTCTGGAGCATTAATTGCACCTCAGAGTTGGTCCCTTCTTGAGACAAGGAGCTCAGTATTTAGTATCCCAGTGTTAGTCACTAGCTGTGGTCTGCACCAAGGGCAAGGCAGCTCCTATTCAATATGGGGCAATTCCCTGGAGAAGAAAGCACTTCTTCAAAAGTTGATAGCAGCCAATGCCTAGAGCAGCTGGGGGATGGATACAAGGATGTGATAAAAGTGATCGGGGGGGGGCAGATCCTGAAACTTCTGCGCGTTAGTTTCCTTTATCTATAAAATAGGGATATCAATACTTAGTTCACAGATTTATTTGGGAAATAAAATGAAATTAAATGATAGGCAGCTTGAATCTAAGTGGAATTTGGACAAGCCAGGATGTCTGGGGAAAAGGGTTGACAAAGTCTGCCAGTAGCCTGTTTGCATGTAGATTAAAAAGCATTGTGGGAGAAGATTCAAATTGTGATTGTTATTAAGATTCATTTGGTCATTTACTCCCTGACAAACATTTAGGGCTCTTCATTCACGTGTCAGCACTCTGCTAGGCTGTGGATGTTCTGACTGGTTTAAATGTGTGGAAGTTGGGGAGGTGACCTATCGGAAGTCCTTTCCTCTCTGTCTTGGAGCTGAGAAGCCCTGGGACATGAATCAGGCATGATGAGCCTGCCCAAGTCGGAGACCTGCAAAGACTGGGGGCAATAAGGAAAAACAAATGGGTATTTTACTAAAATCTCTAATATACTGGAAACAAGGAGCACAACTTAGGGACTCATCTAACAAAGTCTTGCATGTGAATGGGGGTGGGGATCAGGGCAGCTACTTCCCACTTCACAGCAGAACATCAACAGCTTTGTCATCTTAAGGGCTTCACTGCCTCCAGTGTAATGGTAGACAACTGTGCTGGGAAGACTTGTCAGTAGATAGCACTGTGACTCTGCAGGACTGTGGCAGCAGGTGACAGGTGTGGACATTCGTGAGTACATGTGTGAACCCTCTGGGAACTCTCAGAAATTCTCCAGGCCCCCTCCTCAGCTTCAGGTTGATGAAGCCTGGGGAAGCTTGGTTACAGCTCTAGCCTGTCGAGAACATTCAGCTGGGTGTACAAAGCTTTACTCCCATTATTCCACCCATTATTCCACTCATCCTCCCCAATTCAGTGTCGTAAACTCGAGCCCCTATGTCACCAAGGAGGCACCCTAAATACACATTTTAATTACTGTCAGTTTAAGGAACACTCTAGCTCCCAGACACACCCTCCCAAATTCTTTCATTTAATGATAAACTCTCTGTCAAAATCTGTTTTTTTTTTAATTAAATTCCAAAATCTATTTATTCAAAGTGAGTACAGGAACCAAAAACCTAGAGTATCTAGTGTTCAAAACTAACCTTTGCAAAAAGATACTGGTTTGTTGTTTTTGTTATGCTTTGTTTTGTACCTAGATGATTCCATGAGTCACTGGCTGAATGATTTGTCTTTTCTTTTGTTTTCCCCTGCCCTAGAAAGATAACTGACTTTCCTTGTATCAAAAAATGACTCAACATTGGATAGAATTAGAGCTAAAAATATTAGCCTTATGGTTTATTTTCATTCCATCCATATACTTACCTAAGCCTTCTTTTCTAGCTTAGGATTCTGCTGGAGTGATGTGTAATCCTGAGCTCTGACGGGTGTCCCAGTCCTCCCTTAAAACCAAGGTTAATACAAGTGCATGAAATAGTTTTAATCAGATCAGAAACAAGAACTATGGCCACAAAAAGAAGTCAGATGTGGGATAGACAGAGGGACAAATAACATAAAATTACAAAAGGGTTAATATGAAATCCCATTTCTTAGGAAGAGGTGTCCTTATAAAGCCAATGTGGGGTTTATTTTCAAATAATTTATTAATCTTAAATTTGGAGTTTGTTTAACAAATATAGCCATATTTTTCCTGTCTTAACCTATTAAAGAGCCAACATGGACAAATGAATATGAAATAGAATTTGTAGTCCTATTTTAACATACAGACAATTCAACGTTGAAACTATTTTCATTTCAACTCTCTGTCACAAAAAAATTAGTAGCACTCAAAACTATAATTTTCTTTTCTTCCTATTTCTGAATAGGCCTGAGAGATTAAAATAGAAAGTTAAGTAACATAAGTGACCTACTAAATGACCTAGCAAGTGTTTGACTGAGATAAGTTGTAACACTTATGCTAAAAATTGAAAAACTGTCACTTCCCTGTTAGAGCTGAAAATAGCTCTTACTAGTTGTTCTTCCCGATGCAAATCCATATTCAGCTTTGTATTATTAACACAAATCACTCAAAACAATTCCAAATGAGCACATATAGACTTAGACAGAATTAATACTAGATTGTTGATAAAGCCTTTAATCCAATTTGAATGAGTGCCTCATCCAAAGTGAGCTGGCTTGAGGTTTTTCTCCTTCTTTCTATAAATTTAGTACTTATATACCGATCTCATTTAATGAATATGTATTATGCAGCTCTTAGGTAAAAATTCAGAGATTAGGTGTTCCCAGTACTACAAAGGTGAGGAACATGTAGTGGGTACTATGTAATTTACAATATAATTGTTGCTATGAATATGAACATTTTATAATTTATTATAAAGCATAAAAACAGCAACTATTCAGAGAACTGGTAGGTTATTTTTAGTAGAAGTGGTGAAAAATGACTTTATAAAGAAATATCATTTGGAAGAGGTTTGGATGTCTGTGCAGCATTTCAAAAGTTGGTGCTGGGGTTTTAGGAGATCATTCTGGTGGAAGGTCTGTCATGGGAAAAACAATGGAGAATGGAAAGGTCATGGTATATTCAGAGAATGGCCAGTTGAAAGGGATAAAGTAGGGTAGGGAAGAAGAGGGAGAACAAGTTGAAATGGTATTATGAAGGGTTTTAATACTGTGTTCAGTAAAAGCGTTTGGACCTAATATGTAAGTAATAGGGACCCATTGAAGATTATGGGACAAGATAATAATTTAATTAAATCTTTGTTTTATTTTTTAATTTTTTCTTGCGGTACGCGGTCCTCTCACTTGCTGCGGCCTCTCCCGCCGCAGAGCACAGGCTCCGGACGCACAGGCTCAGCGGCCATGGCTCACGGGCCTCGCCGCTCTGCGGCATGTGGGATCTTCCCGGACCGGGGCACGAACCCGTGTCCCCTGCATCGGCAGGCGGACTCTCAACCACTGCACCACCAGGGAAGCCCTATGGTACTTTTGTTATAGCAGCCTGAACAGAATAAGACATAGGAACATAATGACTAGAACTGGAGCAGTCATGCTCTTGGGCCATGAGGTAAGCTCAAACATGGAAGCCAAGCATGGTAGAGCAACAAGATAGAAGGAACCCGAGTCCCTGACATCCTGGCTCTACATATGAGAACTGGAATACTTATCTCTAGAACTTCATATGAGAGAAATAAACTTCTGTCTTGTTTTAGCCATCATTATTGGGGCTTTCTGTCATTCATAGCTGGCCATAATCCTAAATACAGCACCCCATCCATGAGCTGTGAAGAGCCACAAAAAGTTTTAAGCAGAGGAATGAAATTATGAATATAATCTACTGTAGAAGATTGCTCACCATATCTTGAAAGAACTGGAGAGATGAAAAACTCCGGGCAGAGACACAACTTGGAAGGCTACGTCAGCAAATCTGGTTTGAGATGGACCTGGACAGCAGTGGGCTAGCGGGAATGAAAGGCTAAATGTGATGTCATTCCCTGAATATACCCACAGCCCTCTCACAGCTCCCACATTTTTGCTCTTGCTATGCCTTCGGATTAGAAAGACTTCACCTTCAAGACCTAGTCCCATGACATTGTCTTCAACATTCTCAAGTAGAGTTTTGTTTTTCCATAAAAGTTTGCCCGCTTATTTATTTGTTCATGCTAATAGTGCTCTTTCAAACTCTTTCTTGTTGAAACTCCTTTGCCTTGCAGACAAGGCTCTCCAGGAGCTAGCAATCACGGAGTATTTACTATGTGCCAGGCAGTGTATTAAGCCCTTTATATGCATGATCTCAGTGAATCCTCAGTACATCTCTATGAGTAGAATAGCCTGTCTCTAAGAACACTCCAAGATTCCCCGCAAAGCAACCTCTCTCTCCTGGTTATCCTACATACACAAGGGGATGTGTTGTTTCTGCCCTGGAGCTTTTCAGGAGGCCTCTGGGGAGATGGCTGTCCCTAGACATGGAAGCTCCCAGAAAAGAGAATGTCAGAGTGGTCAACACCTATTGTCTTCTGCTTTCTGTATTAGCTACAATTCCTCAACAACAAATAAACTCTATGCCCACTGATCCAGTGACTCAACATTTATTGAGTACCTACTTTGGAATTTATATTCTACAGTTTATTTTGGTGAAGGAAATAAAAAACAACACAGTTTAATTTCATATTATTTTACCATAGACTAGTCAGTTATTCTAATACCACTTGCTGAGGTATATATTTCCCTCTCTGATCTGAAATAGCACATTAAAAAAATTCCTCGTAAAAGAATTTCATATATGTGTGTGTTTATCTGGACTTTGCACACTCAAATTTAGTATTTATTCCTGGGGATGACCTTGTAATTGTGTTTTTCTTTTAGCTTTTTGTTTTGAAATAATTACAGACTCACAGGAAGTTGCACAGATAGCACAGAGTCCCATGTACCCTCCCCCCTTTGGTGACATCTTACATAACTGCACAACATCAACACCAGGAAATTGATGTTGGTAACTTGCTGTTAACTATACTTATTTGATTTTTCACCATTTAAAAAAATTTCAGGCACTGTTGGTATGTGTGTGTCTATAGTTCTATGCAATTTTATTTCATATATAGATTCATGCTACCACCACCACAATCAAGATACAGAGTGATTCCATGAACAAACTCTTGGTATTTGCACCCACCTCTCACCTTCCCCCACCCCACCATTCTCATCCCTGTCCCCTAGCAACCACTAATGTCTCCATCTCATCTTATCGTTTTGAGAATGCCTTATAAATGGAATCACACTGTATGTAACTTTTTAGCAGTACCATTTTTCACTGAGCATAATGCCCTTGAGGTCTATACAGGTGGCTGCCTGTATCAACAGTTCATTTCTTTTTATTACCAAGTAGTATTACATTGTATGGATGTAAGTTTGTTCAACCATTCATCCGTTGAAGAACATTTGGGTGGTTTGTAGTATTTTGTTATATTATGAATAAAGCTGCTATGAACATCCACATATAGATTTTTGTATGACTATAAGTTTTCATTTCTCTGGGATAAAAGAGTGTGACTGCTGGATTATATGGTAAGTGCATATTTTGTTTTGTAAAACATTGCCAAATGCTTTTCCAGAGTACCTATACCATTTTACATTCCCACCAGCAATGTATGAGAAAGTCAGTTTCTCTGTATCCTTGCTAGCATTTAGCATTATCACTATTTTTTCTGTGTTTTGAAAAATTGTGATACAATTCACATACCATAAAAATCACCCTTTTAAAGCATACAATTCAGTGGGTTTTCACATATGCACCATCACCACTATCTAATGCCAGAACATTTTAATCATACCTGAACGAACCCCTGTGCCCATTAGCAGTTATTACCCACTCCCCACCCCTCCCCCCAGCCCCTGGCAACCACCAGTCTACTTTGTGTCTCTATAGACTTGCCTATTCTAGACACTTCATATAAATGGAATCAATATGTGGTCTTTTGTGGTAACACTATTTTTAATTTCAGTAGTTCTAATAGGTGTGTAGTGTTATCTAATTGTAGTTTAAATTTGTATTTCCTTAATGATTAATGATGTTGAACATCTTTTCACGTGCTTATCGGCCATCCTTATTTCTTTTTGGTGAAATATTTTTTTCATGCCTTTTGTTTGCTCTATTTACTATTGAGTTTTGAGAGTTTTTTAGATATTCTAGGTATATGGCCTTTGTTAGATATTGTATATGGCTTGCAAATCCTCTCCAAGTTTGCAGTTTGTCTTTTCATCCTCTTTGCAGGGTCTTCCATAGCACAAAAGTTTTTCTTTTTTTTAAAATTTATTTATTTTATTTTTGGCTGTGTTTGGTCTTCGTTGCTGCACACGGGCTTTCTCTAGTTGTGGCGAGTGGAGCTACTCTTCGTTGTGGTGTGCGGCTTCTTACTGTGGTGGCTTCTCTTGTTGTGGAGCACGGGCTCTAGGCGCACGGGCTTCAGTAGTCGCAGCACGCAGGCTCAGTAGTTGTGGCTCGTAGGCTCTAAAGCACAGGCTCAGTAGTTGTGGCGCATGGGCTTAGTTGCTCTGCGGCATGTGGGATCTTCCCAGACCAGGGATCGAACCCTTGTACCCTGCATTGGCAGGCATATTCTCAACCACTGTGCCCAGGGAAGCCCCAAAAGTTTCAAATTCTGGAAATTTATTAATGTCCTCCTTAATGATCATACTTCTGGTGTTATGTCTAAGAACTTGCCTAGCTAGCCCTGCTCCAAAGAATACAGAAAAACAAAAAGCACATAATAATCAACCTATTGAAAGTTAGTGATATAGAGGAAAACCTTAAAAGGAACTTAGAAAAAACGTACATTAAATATAGACTTTAAAGTGCTGAAAGAGAAGGTACAAAAGGAATTACTGATATTTTAATTTCATGAATATATATATGAATATGTGTTTATACCTATACATACAGGTGGTCGACCTTACACAGTTGGATTGCTGGTTAAGCAGATTCTGCAAGGCTGATACTGGAGCCTGAAGTCCAGATAGGCAGACAGGAAAGGAATATGGGCATAAAGTGAGGGAGAGTAAGAGCAAGTACCCCAGAAGGGTTTTAAACACTTTGTTTAATGGAGAATATATCCGGCTAGGCCCCAGCAAAAAACAATTTCCTTCCAGGCAGGATTTAGATGAGAATCTATTAAGTTTACATAAGTGAAGATAGGTGAAGAGAACCAGGAAGGAAACTTGAGGCATCCAGAACCGGCAGGAAGGCTTTCCTTCTCCGGAGCTGCAAGCAGGCCCCAGGCTCCACGGGAGCCACAGTGATCAGGGACACTGTTACTGCCAGAACCTCAGTGTCACCTGGAAGGGAGTGGAGAAGAAATATTCTGTCTAGTCTCATCGTGCCTTTGGAACTCCTGGGGATCAAAGAAGCAGATAGAATGGCTGAAAATGAACCTGGGAGGACACACAGAGAATAGCCAGCACAGTGAACGATATCTAATTCAGCCAAACTTCCTAACATTTTACCAAAGAGCCTGAAATAGTTATAATGGGAAATATATAGTACAGAGTTTACATTTTCTGTGAAACTTGTTCTTTTCCACTGGTGTTGAAACATATTCACCATCATCTTGACAAATGCCATTAATTTTCATTTTCCCTCAAATGGAACATTGCCCTAAAAATAATTTTCATAGGAAAGACGGACTCAACTCTCAATAAAAGTGATTTATGGAAATCTGCCATGTTCTCACTCGGCTACTCAAATTTTCTCCATGCAGTCAACTTTCTTAAGTGTTCTGAGCCACAGTAACTCACGGTCAGGCATTGAAGTGCAATTCAACTATTACAAAGATGAAAGTGTATGATGGGTTAATACATCATTCAAGTAATAACATAAGAAAGCAAGCAGCTCAATAAAGTCAAAGCACTCTATACACTTAGTTTGAAAAGTGGTGGATTTAACTCATAAAGTCAATGCCATAACAAAACACTTCTCAAGTACACTCTAACCTTGAGTATAAGTTTAAAAAGTCAAGTATAACTCTTTGGCTCTTTCTTTGGAATATAATTGGCACTCACCCTTCCTTCCTCCCTTCCTCCTTTCTTCCCTCCTTCCCCCTCCTCCCTTCTGTCTCTATTTTCAAGCACTTCTATGTACACTGTCTTATTTAATCCCAAATAGAGGTATTATCCCATAATGTAGATGAAAAAACTGAAGCCCAGGAACTTTGAATAACTTGCCCACTGTACCTAGCTAGGGAAGGTACAACCCAAAACTGAAAGCAGATAATCTGCTTCCAAACTTCCCTACTTTAATTAAAATACTTTGTAATATTTTAAAACACCATTTACCTGCCTGCTGACTCTGTAACCTATACTTTCTGTGACCTGTCATCTTAAAAATCAGTCTTCTAGCGTCACTCTTATGATCGCCCTGCTTTGCTAGAGGGCTGTGTTAATATAGCCTCACAGAAAAGCTTAAAAAAAATTTTTTAAACCTCTTTGTAAATTTATCAGTTCTACAGTGACTTTCTTAAAAAAATTCAAGTGCAAATAGTGACCTTTAAAAGCCACTCTAGGTCAAGAGATAATAACTTCGCTATAGGAACAGAAGTCATCAAATGCACCTGAAACGTACATAACCAGCTCCTAAATCAACTCGAAAGAGGTGTTTTGCCAAAAGTCTGTCTGTCTATTTAATCTTCAACAAGTAGTGGAGAATGCAGGGTAGAGGGTAGGGTTTCTCAGACACATATTTTCAGGAAAATCTACTCTCATGCACCACTTTCTCTTCATTCACAATATAATACTAATAGTATTTATTGAGTACTTACTACTTGCCAAACATTCTTCTCAGATCTTTACATAGTAAACTCACTTAATCATCATATGGATCCTGTGAGGTAGGTGCCCTTATAATCTTGATTTTACAAATAAAGAAGCAAGCAGAGGGATGTGAGTAACTTGGTCCAGCTAGTACTGGCAGAGCCCAGGTGGTCTGACTCTTACACTCTGCATCTTACTGCCCTCCAGCCCAGGCCTTCATCAGGTCCCACTTAGATGTATTCCCATCCATCTGTGACCGTCTTCCAGAACAGAAGCCATCTGTTCTAGTAGAGTGCTCAGTACTATAAACGCTCAGCAAAATTTATTGAGTGATTGATGAATGACAGGAAGGAAGGAAGGTAGGAAGGAAGGAAGGAAAGAAGGGTGAAAGAATATACAAACAGGGGTTCAGAACGGTCAGAAAAAGAAGGATTCTTTTAGAGTAGGTGGAGTAAGAAGAACAGGTTACATCAAGGAGTCTTGAATTTCAATAAGCAAAGATAAAGAAAAGGGAATTTAGGTGGACAGTTATATAAATAATTATATAAAGAAATTGGAAATTACATAAAGAACTTGGAAAGCCTGAAGATGCATTCAGAGAACAGCAAGTTGCATAAATTGGCAGCGACTTAGTCTTGGGCTGCACGAGGGGAATGCAGGGGGAGGTATGATCAGGTAAGTTGAGGCTAGTTTGTTGAATGTTTTAAATGGCAGGCTGGAGGGATTGCTGCATAAAGAATTGGAAGCCGCTGGAGGAGTCTGAAGGAAGAGGAGAGAGGATGACAGTCTCAAGACTGCACTAGGGAAGCTAAAATGGCATAAAATTTCAGAGAGGGTGTGACTTTGCTTCAGCCAGTCTGGTGGCATAACCAAACCAATTCCACTATAAATTAAACTGTCTCCTTGAGGCTCTTTGTCCCACACAGGTAATGTGAATTCAGACTTCAAATTTCTATGACTGTCAACTTTATGCAAATTCTCAGGGGGGATTTTTTTCCTCCCCACATCTTGGGTCACATTTAGACAGAGGTAAGACCCAGATTGAGACAAGATGGTGGGCTTTCAATGAGGAGCTGTCAGGGGATGAAAATTGGTGTGACTAGAAGCAGATTGTAAAAGCAGTCTCTATCAACATTTTTTCTACTCCATCTGATAAGCATCTTGATTCTTTATGGCAGCAGCAGCAATAAAATAGGTAATATCAAACAGAACTATCTTGAAACATTTATTTCTAATCCAAAATGGAGCTTTATACTGTGTTTGTTATAAATCTACATATTCTTCTCTTCCAGATGACTATAAATGCAAAGCAGAGCTTGCTTTGACACTTTCAACAATGAATAGATTCACCCAGGCAGAAAATCAATAAGGAAAAATTGGATTTAGTCTGCATGTTAGACCAGAGGGGCTTAACAGATATTTATAGAACATTCCATTCAACAGCAGAATAAACCCTTTCTCCAGTACACATGGAACTTTCTCCAGGATAGATCATATATTAGGACACAAAACACCCCTTAATAAATTTAAGAAGATTGAGATCATATCAAGCATATTTTTTTACTACAATGGTATGAAACTAGAAATTGACTACAAGAAGAAAACTGGAAAATCCACAAATATGTGGAGATTGAACAATGCCACTGAACAACTAATGGGTCAAAGAAGAAATCAAAAGAGAAAATTTAAAATATCTTGAGATAAATGAAAATGGAAGCACAACATCCCCAAACTTATATAATACAGCAAAGCAGTTCTAACAGGGAAGTCCACAGCAATAAATGACTATATTAAGAATAAATAAAGACTCAAATAAACAACCTTCCTCTACACATCAGGGAACTAGAAAAAGAAGAATAAAATAAGCCCGAAGTTACCAGAAGGAAATATGAAATAACAGAATGGAAATAAAAGAAATAGAGAATAATGACAGTAGAAAAAAATCAGTGAATCTAAGAGCTGTTTTTTTTTCTTTT